TCGCTCTCTCTCTCTCTCGCTCTCTCTCTCTCTCGCTCTCTCTCTCTCTCGCTCTCTCTCTCTCTCGCTCTCTCTCTCTCTCTCTCTCTCTCTCTCTCGCTCTCTCTCTCTCTCGCTCTCTCTCTCTCTCGCTCTCTCTCTCTCGCTCTCTCTCTCTCGCTCTCTCTCTCTCGCTCTCTCTCTCTCTCTCGCTCTCTCTCTCTCGCTCTCTCTCTCTCGCTCTCTCTCTCTCTCTCTCTCGCTCTCTCTCTCTCTCGCTCTCTCTCTCTCGCTCTCTCTCGATCTCTCTCGCTCTCTCTCTCTCGCTCTCTCGCTCTCTCTCTCTCTCTCTCTCTCTCTCTCTCTCTCTCTCTCTCTCTCTCTCTCTCTCTCCCTCTCTCCCTCTCTCCCTCTCTCCCTCTCTCCCTCCCTATCCCCTTCTCTCTCCTCTACTTCCTTTCCCTCCACTCCCTCCTCTCTCCCCCTCCTCTCTCCCCCTCCTCTCTCTCCCTCTCCCACTTTATCTCCTACTCTCTCTCCTTCCTCTCTTCTGTCTCCTCTCATCTCTGTTTTCTCTCCTGCCCTGTTTCCTCTCGTCTCTCTTCTTTCTCTTCCATATTCTTTGCTGTAGGCTTTGTAATTTCTGCAATTTGTCATTGTTAAAGGTGGGTCAATAGGAGTGTAAACTGGTGGGCAGCAGGGACGGGTGGGTGCAGGTGGCTGCTCCTCCCTGCCTGGCACACTCATAATAACAGGTTTGTAATTATAGTATCAGGAAGGATTCACTCAGACAAATCATCCCCATGCTAATTGTCGGAGACGTGGAGGGTACCGAGGGCGCTCTCTCTCTCTCTCTCTCTCTCTCTCTCTCTCTCTCTCTCTCTCTCTCTCTCTCTCTCTCTCTCTCTCTCTCTCTCTCTCTCAGACCAATCTAGAGCTGAGAGGATTGCAGTGCGAGGAAGGACTGAGGGGAATTTGGTCCTACAACTGTACACGAGATAAGAGACGAGAAAGAAAAGACATGATTGTGACGTAGAGAAGAAAAGCGAGAACATTGCTCAAGACCAGAGAGCAGCACAGTGCGCAAGAACTGGGAACACACAACAGAGTTCAACACAGCAATTCAGTGGGCCGGATCAGCCTATCCAGGTATCCATTGAAAGCAGCAGCTTGAAATGAGTAGCTCATTGGAAAACACTTACCTCCCATACGATTCTGTGGAGAGGAGGACGAGGGGACACAATGGTTGTGAGCAAGACGAGGGGACACAAGGAACGGACCAGGACGAGGGGAACACAAGGAACGGACCAGGACGAGGGGGACACAAGGAACGGACCAGGACGAGGGGGACACAAGGAACAGACAATATTCACAATATACAAGCTGAAAACAACATAGCACAGACCATATACACTGACGGATCACTCAATACAGCTACAGGGAGGGCAGGAAGTACTGTTATTGCTCATCAGCCCGATGGCAGCAGAATTCAAAGGAATATAAGAATTAGTAACTGGGCATCCACAATGCAAGCTGAGTTGGTAGCAATACTGGTAGCACTCGAAATTATTGACAACATTGAAGTAGACAGCTTAATTATTTCCGACTCCCTTTCTCACTACTAGCAATAAACAGTTTGCAATCAAGTAATAACGTGCTTGTCTCAGAAGCCAGACATCGATATATAAGCATTCTTAACAAGAGGGTAAATATAAAAATGTTGTGGATTCTTTCTCACATTGGCCTGCAGGAACATGACAAAGTTGACGCCCTTGCTTAGGTTGCAGTAAATAAAGACGGTATTGAACGGAATCTTGAATTATCAAATAGGTCCCTTAAAAGTGTCATTAGATGAGAACTCTTTGATAAATTTGAAGAAAGTAGAACAGTGCAAACGAATTAGCAGCTCCATTGTTTATCACAATGCAATATGTGGAGTAAAACATGTGTATGGGGCAAGTAACAAAGTCAGTAGACTAACAGATGTTGTCACGGCTCGAATAAGACTTGGCTACAAGTATCTCGGGCAATTCGGCTTGTATAGGGATCTAGATGAAGTAAAGTGTGTGGACAAAGACAGGGACACGAACTCGAACACTATATCTTGGATTGTACTAAAATTAAGCCATTTAGAGATAAATCTAAGCTCACGCTGTATAATATGGCAACCTATCTTATTACCAAGGATAAAATACCTGAAATCCTTGCACTGTATTTATATTTCGCTTCCAGTAGATAAATGACATATATGAGATTAAGAAACAAGTAATATATTGTGAAGACTAATAAATAGCAGCTCCCCTATGACTCTGTAATATCTTCATTGCTCAGACAATTGTGTTTTAGCGATAAGACCTACCATGTATGTATAATGACTTACTGTTAATATATAGCTCTTGAAATAGAACATTCTCTGTAACTGGCTGACATTATAGTTATAAGGTTGTAAGGATAGATGAAATTGTTTACGTAATAATTTAAGTCGAGGTCTGATAGACCTTTTGTACCGTCTGTAATGCTTTTTGCGCTACCGCTCACAGGATGGGTATGGGGTGCACAATAAACTAGCCGCCTCCGGCGGCAACAATCAAGGAACGGACCAGGACGAGGGGACACAAGGAACAGACCAGGACGAGAGGGGACACAAGGAACGGACCAGGACGAGAGGGGACACAAGGAACGGACCAGGACGAGGGTATTCCCACGGACATTGAACACAGGACTGAAGTGGGTCGAGATTCCAGACAAAACTTCTGAGTGAGCGGCCGCACGAAGGGAACATATTTGAGAGGACGTAGTGGAGGCCATCAGATCTAAGTCATTAACCTTACTTATATCATTTTGTTACCGTATATTTCAATATGTATGTGGCACGGTCCGCCGCGTAATTGTACATTGTGACACGCTGGAAGTACGGTGTGGTACACAATATAGGGTACACAGGCACGGTACATGGGATCCAGTAGAAGCAGAACAGTGCGGTACACGGGGGTGAGGAGAGAGACGAGAGCCGCAGAGTTCATCCCGCAACAGGTACAGCAGACGCTGGGCTCTGGTCCTCTGGGGACGGGGACTTCATTATCTCTCCTCCTACCGTAGCAAGAGTCGCGTCCTCGCAACTCTACGGAACTACATCGGCTACTTGACCCTCTTTACCCTCGGGGAGGCCATGTCTTAAATCGCCATCAGTTTGTTAAACTTTGTGTAAGTGAGGTGGAGATTTGGGGGTGGCGGCCGCTGGTACCCTGATCCCAACCAGTTGCTGGTGTCACTTTGGAATGTAAGGTGTGCTGGTCTCGGGGAGGGGGGGAACTAACACACACACACACACACACACACACACACAACACACACACACACACACACACACACACGCACGCACGCGCGCGCGCACACACACACACACACACACACACACACACACACACACACACGCGCACACACACACACACACACACACAACACACACACACGCGCACACACACACACACACCACACACACACACACACACACACACCACACACACACACACACACACACACACACACACACACTCTCTCTCTCTCACGCACTCTCACACTCACACTCACGCACTCTCACTCTCACGCACTCTCACTCTCACGCACTCTCACTCTCACACTCTCATACACTCTCTCGCTCTCTCGCTCTCTCTCTTTCTCTCTTTCTCTCTCTCTCTCTCTCTTTCTCTCTCTCTCTCTTTCTCTCTCTCTTTCTCTCTCTCTTTCTCTCTCTCTCTCTCTCTCTCTCTCTCTCTCTCTCTCTCTCTCTCTCTCTCTCTCTCTCTCTCTCTCTCTCTCTCTCTGTAACCCGTTTATCAATGTACAGTATATACACAGAGTCCACTTTAGTCCTACACTATGCTCAAGTGTAGCGTAAACATGGTGTAAGTCGGTAAGCAGCTGCGATGGTAACCTTAATAACCCCCCTTCCGGTTGGTAAGCCGTAGTAAGCCCAATACCAAATCAGACCTATTGGCCTGCGGTTTTCTGTTATCTAATTTTCAGTATAGGACACTGACACAGGGTGTGTGTGTATCAGCCTGACTGATCATTTCAGAAGTCATCCTCCCAAATATACGGGGCTGCTAAGAGCAATTGCAAAGCTGATCTTATTAAGCACTATTTTGTTATGTACTCACCAGATACTTTCTTGCCAGGTTTCTCCAGAGTGACATGACAATTTTTCTCGTTACAGATAACAGCAAATACATAATATTTCAAGAAAATGTAACCACTTGGCAATCCTGGCAAATTGATAATTCACACATCGTTATCATACCAAAATTTTACATAATGTATTCTATGTATAAAGGTTTATACTCGAGGAAAGTAAGTTCAATTACCTGGTTGATCTGGCTTAGGTTATAACTTTTCGGAAATAAGATTTTGTATACACTTTCACTCCGTATTGTTAGATCCTCATAATTACCTTACCTTAGTAGTGTGTGATCCTCATAATTACCTTAGTATAGTGTGATCATAATTACCTTAGTATAATGTGATCCTCATAATTACCTTAGTATAATGTGATCCTCATAATTACCTTACCTTAGTAGTGTGATCCTCATAATTACCTTAGTATAGTGTGATCATAATTACCTTACCTTAGTAGTGTGTGATCCTCATAATTACTTTACCTTAAGGTATTATCGTTTGAATGTTTAAGTAGAAATTACTTAATATTAACCTATGGTTCCTTCTAATAACTAATTAATATTAATGTTTGATCGGTGTGATATATATATATTTGTTGCTGTTGTCAGTCAGCTGTAGAAGTTACCTTCCCGCCGGGACTCGAACCCGTGTGTAGAGGCAGCGCCATCTTTGACACCTCTCCTTTGTCAGCCTTTTGTACTTAATCAGGAATATGTTCATTTATGCAGTATTAACATTGTTCAGGATGTTGGGAGGAATTAATATTCTTCGCAAGTTTGTGCGTACGAGAATTAGCAGAACAGGTATGTTGTTGGCTTTTATTAAAGAGATATCTTTGTTGGCAGGTGTCTAGTGTTGACCAGCAACGGTCCCAGCGGCTGCTGGCGGGCTCCTAGTTCAACTGTAATCTCTGACGTCACTAATTACCACCAACAGGTATTTAAAATAAAACTGCAAAGTAACGAAATCTAATATGCTCCGCAAAACTGTGCATTTTTAGTAGTTTTACAGCTTAATGCCGAAATACACACACACACACACACACACACACACACAACACACACACACCACACACAACACACACACACACACACACTGCATAAATTAGTTGATTGACAGTTGAGAGGCGGGACCAAAGATCCAAAGCTCAACCCCCGCAAGCACAACTAGGTTAGTACAACTAGGTAAGTACACATAAATATAGCCTCTAGGAAACAAATTTCTCATTATTTTCTTTTAATGTCCACTTTTTGTAACCAATCAGATATATTGGTTACAAATACATAATTAGTATATTTTGGTGGCAGTCTTTCTTCTAAACATATGTTGTTAAATATGACCGAAAAGGTAAGATTATTAATTCTAACACGAATTTTCTCAATATATTTTATGTTTCTTTTTACTGTCGATGGTAATTGAAAAATCAATTCTCCAAAATTCATTTTTATTTCTAGTCTGACGCGAAGCCGCACATCGCAAACATGACAAAACGCGTTCAGGTGTCGTGTCAAACTAGAAATAAAAATTAATTTTGGAGAATGATTTTTCAATTACCATCGACAGTGAAAAGAAACATAAGAAATATTGAGAAAATTCGTGTTAGAATTATTAATCTTACCTTTTCAGTCATATTCAACAACATATGCTACAAGAAAGACTGCTACCAAAATATAATTAATTATATATATATATATATATATATATATATATATATATATATATATATATATATATATATATATATATATATATATATATATAATTAGTATATTTTGGTAGCAGATATATATATATATATATATGTCGTACCTAGTAGCCAGAACGCACTTCTCAGCCTACTATGCAAGGCCCGATTTGCCTAATAAGCCAAGTTTTCCTGAATTAATATATTTTCTCTAATTTTTTTCTTATGAAATGATAAAGCTACCCATTTCATTATGTATGAGGTCAATTCTTTTTTATTGGAGTTAAAATTAACGTAGATATATGACCGAACCTAAGCAACCCTACCTAACCTAACCTAACCTATCTTATAGGTTAGGTTAGGTTAGGTAGCCGAAAAAGGTAGGTTAGGTTAGGTAGGTTAGGTAGTCGAAAAACAATTAATTCATGAAAACTTGGCTTATTAGGCAAATCGGGCCTTGCATAGCAGGCTGAGAAGTGCGTTCTGGCTACTAGGTACGACATATATATATATATATATATATATATATATATATATATATATATATATATATATATATATGCAATTGACGATCACAAAACAATGATCATTTTATGCGGAAAATCCACAGAAATATGAAATGAGGTGAACGTTTCGGCTTTGTTAAAGCCTTTGTCAAACACCAGACTGACTCAGTCTGGTGTTTGACAAAGGCTTTAACAAAGCCGAAACGTTCACCTCATTTCATATTTCTCTGTGGATTTTCCGCATATATATGATCAGTGTTTTGTGATCGTCAATTGCATATATATATATATATATACTGTAATATGCGAACAAGCCTGAATGGTCCCAAGGCATATATGCAATTGAAAACTCACACCCCAGAAGTGACTCGAACCCATACTGCCAGGAGCACTATGCAAGTGGTGTACAGGGCACCTTATCCACTCAATTATCACAACCGGACAAAAGCTGATGGTATCCAAGGCTATTTCCCCATCAGCCCTCCGGCACTCTGATGGTAATCTTGGGCATAGTATTTTGTCAAATCACCTCATTCTTTGGGGCACACGTGAGGAACACTAATGCGAACAAGCCTGAATGATCCCCAGGCATACATGCAACTGAAAACTCACACCCCAGAAGTGACTCGAACCCATACTGCCAGGGGCGCTATGCAACCGGTGTTACAGGGCACCTTATCCACTCAACCATCACGACCCAGAAAAAAGCTGATGGTAGCCGAGGCTATTTCCCCATCAGCTACCATCAGTTTTTGTTCGGTCGTGATGGTTGAGTGGATAAGGTGCCCTGTACACCAGTTGCATAGCGCTCCTGGCAGTATGGGTTCGAGTCACTTCTAGGGTGTGAGTTTTCAGTTGCATGTATGCCTGGGGACCATTCAGGCTTGTATGCATACTTGCCTAAAACCGCAAGTTGAAGTATAGAAACTTTAGTTTCTATACTTCAGCTCTGAGTATAGTGTAGTGGATACAAGTGCGTACCTGCCATCTTGATGGCCAGGTTTCAAGTCCCTGGTGGGTGTGTGCCTAAAGTTTATATACAGTATATATATATATATACTTACTATATATATATATATATATATATATATATATATATATATATATATATATAATGTTTAACTTTACGCTGCATATAAAACTTCATTGTACCACAAGTTAATTTGAAGTTAAGAAGAACTGAAAAATTCCCTCTTAAGTTTTAAATTTTATTAGAAGGGATTTCTCTGCATGAAGAAATATTGTTAATGCCAGAGAACCTCATTTAAAATCTTGAGGGATTTTTATTTTGTTTTTTCCCATGTCGAGAGAAGGGAAAGACATTCGATAGTTTATAATGTTGAAAATATGACCAAACGACACACCAGAAGATGAAGAGTTTTGGTCCGTCGTGGACCATTATCAAGTCGATTGTTTTGTAATAGTACAGGACGGACCGATACGTCGTAAAGACCTTTTGTACCCTCTGTAATGCTTTTGCGCTACCGCTCACAGGATGAGTATGGGGTGCACAATAAACTATCCGCCTTCGGCGGCAACAATCAAAATCGTCGTCTCTTGATCTTCTGGTGTGTAGTTTGGTCATCATATCTCCAGCCACGTTATTGTGACTCGTCTGAATATGCTGAAAAATTCCTAATTTATATATTTTCCTAGTGCCCCCCCCCCCATCCTGGCTATCAGCCCCACCCTATTCCCTCCCTTTCAAGCTGGGTGGGTAACTATCTTCCCACTCCTCTCTTCTAGCTGTCAAAAAACTTCCCCTTTGTAACTCAAGACCAAAATCTTTGTACCGTAAGGAGTTGCCTTTAGCTACGCCATCAATCATCAGAGGGTCTACGAACGACTGCAGAAATGCCCGAGCTGTTTTGATTGTTGCTCAGAAGGCCGGCCAACGACGGGCCTTCTCTGAACAATCAAAGGGGTACAGGCTAACGTGCAGCACAGCCCGTAACAGCAGTACACAGCCGTCATTGCAGTCTACAGCAACACAGTAAGTCACAGGTCTACTGCAGCACACACAGTACGACACGTCACAGCAGTCTACAGCAACACAGTAAGTCACAGGTCTACTGCAGCACACACAGTACGTCACGTCACAGCAGTCTACAGCAACACTACCCATCACAGCAGTCTACAGCAACACAGCCCATCACAGCAGTCTACAGCAACACAGCCCATCACAGCAGTCTACAGCAACATAGCCCATCACAGCAGTCTACAGCAACACAGCCCATCACAGCAGTCTACAGCAGCACAGCCCATCACAGCAGTCTACAGCAACATAGCCCATCACAGCAATCTACAGAAACACTCAGCCCTCCACAAGTCTACAGCAACACTCAGCCCTCCACAAGTCCACAGCAGCACACAGTACGTTTCAGCGGTATATAGCAGCACACAGTTTGACACAGCAGTCTACAGTAAGAAATGGTTTATTACAGCAGTCTACAGCAAATCACTGTAGCTAGTAGTAGGCTTCTTACTACTGGCTACAGTGCTTGACATGGTATTATACTGAAGTCTACAGCCCTGTGCACAATGCTTCACTACAAGTTATAGTTCAGTGAAAGATTTTGTCTTGCTCTGATCATACTTCATAGGATCAATTCTATAGTATGACTGGCGAGTTCCTTGTCCGAAATTCTGAAATGTACATCACACCACGATGTACATTTATGGCATTTATAGACCAGTTGCAGTACATGATTGTCACCACTGATTACGTTATAACATAAGAATATCTAAGATGTGACTCAAAA